CAGGGTACAACTGATCGATCGAACAAGGAAATTGCTGCCTGAGTCTCGCGCTCGACTCCACTAACACACCTAACATATATCAAAACTTCAAACGAACATAAATTTGCGCATGATAATTTACTCGTAGCAACAAAAAATTATCTAATATTCAGCATATCTTTTTAGATCTTTAATGTCGCAATTCGCCCAAGGAAGTTTGGTTTGCCTTCATCGCCAAAATAGTCGTTTGGTGCTCCAAACAAGGCATCTTGTAAGTTCGATAATTTTTTGATTTAATTTTTCTAGGACTACAACTGTTGCTAGGGAGAAATTTTTGAAATAGGATTTTTTTTTAATTAAGAATTTTTTATCATACTCTAATATTTTATCATACTCTAATAAATCGGTCCAGTTTCCAACAAACCACTACTTGATCGCTGCACATTGCAGAGTGCAGACAACCAAATCAAACTCTAATATTTTGCAAAATTTTGGTGTGAGCTTGATACTGTAAGAATTTTTATAGTTCAGGTCTTGTATTTTGATGGGAAAATGCATGGGTAATAACTGGCCAACTAGCCAGCCCGTCACGTCCCCACTTGTTCACGGGCGCTCTTAAAGAAGAGTTGAGGAGAGGGACCAACGGCAACGCGTCTTCTGATCTGATTCCCTCGTCGGCAAGCTTAGCAGACAAGACGTCTTCTTTGATGCATCTATTTACCTAACAATGCCCTGTTAGGCTGTTGCTTCCTTCCTTCCTGCATTTTCTTTCTTTCCTGTTGGGTGCAACTTCTAGAATATTTCATTTGAAGGGAGGGCAGAGGGTTTTAACAAGGAGTAAATCGGTTCAGTTTACGTGGGGGAAAAACAATTTTTCTTAACGCACAGTATTTCATTCGTTTTATATCGTAATTGTTCTCTTATAGAAAATTCATATTCACAATAATCTTTAAAATAATATCCACTTTGATATACTTAGGAACAAAAAATGGAGACATATATCATCAGTTTATACCATAGTGGTAATGTTTGGTAGTACATTATAATATACTACCACCAAATATATCATGGTGGTATATATAGCCTTTGCCATATATATATTAATGTAGAATGGCTGTTGTACACATGATAGTAGAAAATATATTAATATTTATTTACCATTTTTAAAAACGAAGGTGATACATAGTGGTAACAGGTGATACAAAAAATATTTCTCCAAATATATTGAAAGTGAATATCATTTGTAGATCACAACGAACCTGTTTTCTCCGCGCAAAAAGAAAAAAATTCAAATACAAGTTAAAACAAAGAAAAAATGGTCTTTTAATCTCGCCGCTTAGATCTTACGCCAATTAAAATGAAAGAGTCATATCTATTTATGCGTCGTGGATTTGAATCTCGCCGCTTAGATCTTACGCCAATTAAAATCAAGGAGTCATATCTATTTATGCGTGGTGGATTTGAAAAATGAAGGTTTTGGTATAACTTGGGTTTTGAAAAACCATGGATATATGAGGGTTTTATATTCATTATGGATTTGATAAAAACCATTGTTTGTTTGATGGATTTCATGATAGATGTTGTTAATTAAATTTGTATGTATGAAGTGTAATTTACCTTTATTGTCCTCAATGATTTAAGAAGAGAAAGCAAATATGAAGGATAGGTTGGTAAAAAATGATGGACTTCAAAGTCCATAATCAATTCCCACTTAAATAGGTGGAACTTTCAAGTCCGTGGGGTCCACGAATTTGGTTACTTAAAATTCGTGAGACCCACAAATTTGTTTCCCCTAAATGCATGAAACAAACAATAAATTTAGGACACTATGGTAACTACAGTATTTACTATTTATTAGTTCATCCTCCCATTTTTCACCCTCTCATCTCCGGGAATGGATCAGGTCAGTAACCTTATGGTGAGTAACCATGAGTAACCCGTCCACATCAGCATGACATCAGCATCCTCTCTCATGGAAAGCCTTTAATTTTTCCCTCTTTAATCTTTGACGGACGATTTCTCGCTCATTTTAAGTCGAAATTTAATTTTTTTTGCACAGTTAGATCAGATTAATTGTCCTCTTCAAAATGATATCCACTTTAATATATTTTTCGAACAAAAAAAATTGAGCCATTTTTTACCAGCCTATACCATATGGTATTGACTGGTATTGAAATAAAAGCAAACCTATGTTTTGAAAAACGTACCATGGTGGTATGAACAAACAAATACTGTAGGATGGTTGAATACATGATAGTAAAAGTATATTAATTGTAATTTACGACTTTTAACATTGTATACCACACAATACCACCCCGTACCAGGGTGGTATTGTATGGTATTGTGTGGTATTTTTGGTCCTGTAATTTGTTCACCCAGAAATTTGTAGATCCAATAGATCATGATGAACTCGTCCCTTCTGTGCAAACGTTTTCAAAAACGAATTAAAAACGAAGAAGATACCATACAATATCACCCCGTACCAGGGTGGTATTGTATGATATTGTGTGGTATTTTTTGGTCCTGTAATTTGTTCACCCAGAAATTTGTAGATCCAGTAGATCATGATGAACTCATCCCTGCTGTGCAAACGTGTTCAAAAACGAATTAAAAACGAAGAAGATACCATATGGTATGCAGTTCGTACCGAGAGACCATAATGTTTTTTCCTAAAAAAATATTGAAAATTGATCTCATTTTGTAGAGCACGGTGAACTCGTTCCATCTGTGCAAAAAAAATTAAAATCCGAGTTAAAACGAAAAAGATATGAGTCAATTAAGAAAGCTAGTGAAAATAAAAATAGCCTTTAATTCTCCATCTTTAGATCTGAATTTCTAAATGAAGGGTCCAGATTTGGTTATTGATGAGTGCATAACCCATGGTTATGCACCCTATCTTGAGCCCTCATCTCCTACCTTCCACCCTCACCTCCGCATATTACACTTGTGGAAAAGTACATATCCAAATTTATATATTTCTTACAATTTAATACATAAACTTTAATTTATTTACAAAAAGGCCAAGAAAATTTGGTCGTAAAGTTATAATTTTGTCTTGCATTATAGTACCAGAACCTTTAAAAGTTGACAAACATACCCAATATATTGTTAATAGAAATTTCAAATCATTAGTTAGTTGACATGTATTTGAAATTCGCAAGTAATACACTAGATATTTATTTTGAAATTATTCCATAAATTTGATTAAAATTCGAATACCACATGTAATTAATATTCAAACAAATAATTTAATATTAGAAAATTCAAATAAAAAATCGAAATCTTTCCATCCGAACCCTCCCTAATAACACTTAGGTTGATAACCTTTTTTCATGAAGAGATTATGGTTTAGATCATATGTCATTCTTTAGATAAGTTGTTTGGTGTGATGGGAAAACTTTGGAAAATCAATGAAATTGGAATCTTTAAAAAATTTGTTGCTTTTGGAATTCACGAAAGACAGTCCAAGACAATAATGTATATATACTTAAAATTGCCAAAACTCGGAATTAACAGGAAAACAAACATGCATATAGAAGTCAACCTTGGCTACCTTGGTTTATCGCTTTCAATTCGAAGGCACGTTTAATTTGTTGTGTACCATTTTAAATGTATAATAATTATATGTAAGTCAATGGGGATTTTCTTTGAGTAATTAAATTAGTAATACAAAAGGAGGAGAAATATGTCGACAACCAGGATGGGTCCAGTTAGCAACCCGGTTGGTTACGCCATAGTTATTTGCTCAATTAAATTTAACCACTATATTTCTTTTGTTTTAAAGTCAGAATTTAAAAATCTTTACAGTTTACACATAAAAATCATATTAGTTGAAATCTTCATAATGACATTCACTTTAATATTTTGAAAAAAAAGTAACTAAGACATATATTATCAGTTTATATCATGATGGTAAACGTTTTCATAAACTGGTTTTGTTTATCTGGAAAGATCAATAATAGGAAGCTGAAATAAAGGCAGGTTCCTTCGAAGCCGCTCACTGTCGTTTCTCTCGACTTCTTTGCATGTTTTCCCCTCTGTTTTTCAATGAATCCAATAGTTTATTTTTTTTTAATTTGCATTCGTCGTCCCAGTGTAATGATCGATAGATACTAATAAAATAATGCAGCATTATTGATCAAATGTGTTCATATTGTATTATTATATACTAGGGGTTTTGGCAATGGCACATGCATAGCATCTGCCTAAACTAAACCTTCCTCGTCGAACCCTTGATGCCATCGAGCTGCTCAGTACAGGCGAACGCTGCATGTAAATTTGGTTTTTTTTATATAGGTATAATATGTCTTTTTAGTTTGATGTTTTATCAAATGGCTAAATTACACGTTTGGTCACTCAAATTATACTAATCTTTCACGTTTACCACCCGAATCACTTTTCTTTCTTATTCGCCACTAACTTTACGGATCGTTTCATCATTAGTCACTGGCCGTCCAATTCCGTTAAAATCATCCTACGTGGCAGTCAACTAAATTCTTTGACCGTTAGTTTGATGACGTGGCAATTAAAATATATATATATTAATTTTAAAATTAAAAATATTTCTCTTCCTTCCACTTCTTCTCCCGCAACACTTCTCCTCGAATCCATAGAGAGGCCATTCTAATTCAATTTAGAGGCTTTAAATACTTGATGCTAAATATTGAATCCCACTCAAGAAGCAAGGAAAGTAAATGTGATTTATCATTCATGCCCCAGTGGCTGAATAAAATGCAGATAGCTAGTCCTCTGTTTCCGTCCAGAGGGGACTTCAGCAATAAGGTGGCGGGGAATGAGGACAAGGATGTCCATGGCTTCCATCAGGGTTTGATTCTCCGACCTACCTTTTCCAGAATGTCCCCATCTAATTGGAGCGGAAATCCGAAACAATTCAGAATCGGCCGAATACATCACCGCCATCTCCGGCTAAGCCGAAAGGTACACAGACAGAGCCACAGCGCTCGGAGAATCTCCAGGGACCGGCTTCCACCGTAAACCCATCAACTGACGAGCTTGGAAACGTCGGGTTTGATTTGAGCTCCGGGGAGAAGTTTGGTCAGATCTCTGAGTCCTGGAGCAAGGACAAGGCGGCTATGGCACTTACCCTCCACCACGAGGTTGCTAAGGAAGAAGAAATGTCAGTGGCGAACGTGAAGGAGAAAGAGAAAGAGAAAGAGAAAGAGAAGGATGTTTTTGTGGATACGGTTTCGGTAACGAAGGAGGAGGAAGTGATGGCGGTAGTGGATCCGTCAGATGCACCTCCTCCTCTGCTTCCGGTAGATCTACCGTCTCCGCATGTGCCCACTCCTTATCTCCGTCGTTGCCATCGCCTGCGAAAGTAGCTAAGAGGAAAGTAAAGGAGGATGTATAGATCTGTAGGTCAATCGCGAAGTAGTGATGGACGCGAGGAGAGAGAGTTACACATTGAAGATATCTACAAGCGCCGATCGGCGCCGGCGCCGCCACTCCACAGCTATTCCTGCCTCAGATCTATATACGAATTGATGATCATTAGGAGTTCGATTGGATTCAAGGAGGGGGGAGAGAAGTTTAAGGAAGATGAATATTTTTTAATTTAAAATTTATTTTTTGAATTTTTTAATTGCCACATCATCAAACTAACGGTCAAAGAGGCTAGTTGACTGCCACGTAGGATGATTTTAACGGAATTGGACGGCCAGTGACTAATGATGAAACGATTCGTAAAGTTAGTGGCGAATAAGAAAGAAAAGTGATTCGGGTGGCAAACGTGAAAGATTAGTATAATTTGAGTGACCAAACGTGTAATTTAGCCTTTATCAAATATACTTCTTTATTATTTTTTACATTAAATATGTCCCTGTACTTTGTAAAAATTATCAAATATTTTAATCCAAAAACCGTTAACGAACGCCAAACTTTGGTTTGGAGGGCCTCCCAGCACACCCTCTTGGTCGGCCCCGAGTCATGTTGTACTTGCGAGGAGTAAATTTACAAGAGAAAAAAAAGACATTGCCAACCGAATTTCCTCCATAATCGCTTCACTCGGTCCATGGGTACCTCCATTCCTAGACTCGTCGAATTAAGGTTTGACAATCGCCATAAAAGTTCACAACAAGAAAACCATGTATTAAGCACTTATTTGTCGTATCCCGTAAAGTTAACAATCCCATCAGAAAGGAATCAAAAATACATGTGTAGTGATTATTGGTTTGATTTTGGTTACTCACTAATCGATTTGGCAGTTACTTGTTGACCACTAAGAAAAAATGCATACAAAAAGCCGAACCGATAAGGCTTATTGGTTAGTCGCATGTATGGGTTCAGTTAGCGGTTAGTTTGACGGTTAGCTACTAACCAATAACAACCTCCACATGCGACATTTTTCTTTTATTTACATTTTTTAAATTTTGTGTGGTGTCCTTTTTAATAATAAAATATAATCATACAAATATTTCAAAACAAATTTTGCAACACTTCAACGTCATTAACATAAAATAATAATTATAATAAACAACATCAATACAATACTAACATTTATTAAGAAATCATAATCCAAATTGCAACACATAAAATCACAAATAATTAAACTGCCTTCATACAATTAGCGAATACCAACTAGTAAGATATCAAACACAAGCACCATAATATCATTATCATTTACAAACATCAAAGAAACAAATACTACTACGGTGTGAGGTTTGCTCTGTTCACTGCAAATAAAAGTCGGCGAGGGATGACTTTGATTCTTAAAAATATATTTGAGACTATAATTTAGTACAAGCAGATTAGTGATGACAACGGGGCGGGGCGGGTACCTCAATTCTCATGCCCGGTCCCACGCTACTACGGGGCGGGGCTGGTCGGCCCACTCTTACATATTATTTGAAAAAAAAAACATGTAAATTTTACTTTTTATCATAAAACGAAGGGGAAAAACTCTTTAGGAATGAAAAATAGTGATAATAGAATGAGTAATTGAGTCTGATAAGTTAAAAGATCGACTCTAACTAATTGAAGAAAAGTCAAAATATGATGAATATGTATAGATGCTATAAGAAATTAAAATAAAATAGTTCTAGAACGGGACGGGGCGGGGCAAAGCGGATTAGGAGTAAATACTCATGCCCTCTCCCTACCCCACGCTACTGCGGGTCGGGTAACACTCACCCTATCGCGAATCAGGTCGGATAATACCCGCGAGCGGGTTGAAATTGCCATAAGGAGAGGTGACAATTGAATAATCGGTAGACAAGCTATGTCATAATAATTATAAAAAAAAAAAAAAAACGAGACTCGAGAGAAATAATTTTGTTTTGATATAGAAAAAAGTTCGGTGACCGTTTTGTTATAACTTGTAAAGTTCATTGACTGTTTGGTCACGGAAATAGTGTGATCTCTTGAGTCCCCCCTGACACGGCTCTTCTAATATAAGAAATCTAACTTTACTCTCTCTCTCTCCACGCCAAGTTTTAATATTCGCAACACAAAAACGTGTGGGAAAAACAAAAGCATCCCGCAGATCAAGAACAAAGCAAGAAGGTGGTGACTGGGCCCCACTCCCACCACAAGAAAAGAAAGAATCCAATACATTTGTTTTCAAAAGGAAACAAAAAACTCGTGGGTCTAATTAAATCCAATCCGCTTCAAAGAACGTGCTCTCTCGACCTAACCCTTTAATCCCCTTTTTTATTTAAATATTTATCTATAAATCACCCTTCCCTTCCCTTCCCCATTCAACCCACAAACCAATCCCCAATTTCCCCACAGAAGAAAGAAAGAAAAAATCTCAATCTCCGTCGCCAAACGAAGAAGAAGCAAGGTAAAAAAAAAATGGTGAAGAAATTACTGTTATCTCCGTCGCCGGCGCCGGAAAAGTCGACCTTTGCGCAGACCTGCAACCTCCTGAGCCAGTACTTGAAGGCCGGGAAAGCCAATCTGGGAGATATCAGCCTCGCCGCCAAGTTCGACCACCAACAGCCTCCCGTTAGTTACAAATCTTCATCAGGTAATTGATTCGTTGTTTAATCAGTCGTGAAGAAAACGGAATTAAAACTTTTCGAAATCGAAATTGATTCCAGATCTGAAACTTATGGATTTTCTGTTTCTTAATTTGATTTTTTTTTTCTTCTTCCAGCAGCTGCGCCGACCACGACGCTGGACCTTCTGCCGGGCATCGGCAGCTCCTCCTCCAATCGGGAGGGAGAGAGCGGCGAATTATACGACGGGAAGCCGTTGCCCCGGTTCACCGGGTTCGGATCTACGACGACCGGAGCAGGGGGAGAAGGCGGCGCTCAGATGACGATTTTCTACGGCGGGAAAGTCATCGTGTTCAACGATTTCCCGGCGGAGAAGGCCAAGGAGATCATGGGCTTGGTTTCCGAACAGCATGGGATTAGCAATAACAAATCTCAGGACGAGCAGATTAATAACAACAACACCGCGGCGGCGGCGGCTTCCTCCTCGTCGACGTCCCCTGACGCCGGCCAGCGGATCGGCCACTTACGGCCGCCGCAGCAGCCCCGGCCGATGGGTTCGGACCTGCCAATTGCCAGAAGAGCTTCTCTTCACCGCTTCTTGGAAAAGAGAAAAGACAGGTAATTAACGAATCGATTAATCTCTAGCAATTAGATCAATCAATCTAAACAGAGTTTTTAGTTCTGTAATTAACCATCTTGTTCTTGAATCTCTGCAGGGTTACATCGAGAGGGCCGTATCATCAATTCGAGTCCCCGAAGGCAGCTGATGGCGACAAGAAGAATCCATGGATTGATCGACGGATGAGCCAATCGGCTACGCAGCTGGAGCTTAGCTTATAGGGTTCCCATTACTTTATTAATTAATTAATTACCGTGATCCATAATTACTTAGCTTTTGGATGATATAAGATGTTTCTAATTGGCTGTTAATCAATTTTAACATCTTTATCTTCTTTTTTTTTTTTTTGTGCCTATGCAACATTTTGACAAAAAGTATAGACATTTTTGTACATCACAATCCAATTACAATGCTATGGACGGCGCTTTATTATTATCACATGAATATATCGAGATCGCTTTGCCTATATACATATATGATTTGGCTTACAAGCAAGTAGGGGTGTTCAAATGGTTACCATGGTTATTACCAAATCAAATAAGGCTAAATTTCATTAATTATGGAATACAATATCATAACCAAATCGTCCAAATTAATACAACAACCAAATTAACCAAACTAAAGTTTAATCGGTTTGGTTAATTGGTTAACCAGATTAACCAATATAAAATCATATTAGCATTAACGGAGAAAAATTTCGGTTAATTTATCAATTCACAATTTATATAGTGAATAAAACATAACAATCAACACATAGTTATAGTTGATCCTTAACATAAATACATGCAACTAAGACAATTATCTTACGGTTAGTATAGAAGTATTAACCTAACAAAAATTTATCACAATGGTATTGGTTAATGAGTTGTTGTGTTTGTTTGAAGTGACTTAGTCTTTTAGCAATTTTCATAGGCTGAAAAGAACATTGATTTCAAGTTTTCATCCAACATAATGTATGAGATTTATCTAAATTAGGCGTTCATATGTTGTGGTCTACACGCTACATATACAAATATACATTATAGGAACAATATCAAGCTTTATATTTTATGAGTCTAAAAGAATGAACGTTTAACTCTTGAGTGGTTATTCAAAGTATTAAGTATGTGTATATATTAGATATATGGCTAATCATTTATCTGGTTAATTTGGTTTGGTGGTTAGGAGTGTGTGAAATCAAACCAAACCACCTACACCAAACAAGGTAAAAACTTTAACCAAACCAAACCAATTATCCAAATTAACCAAACCAAATTATCCAAATAGTACTGGTTAAAACAGTTACCATGATAACCACAACGTTTACAAGCAAGTAATTCAATGCCACGTCTCAATGGCTAAGATTTGATAAGTTCATGGCCGTGAAAATACTTTCGGGCAATCTTTTATGGAAGAAAATTAATTTAAAAAATAATTTTTTTTTTCTTGATTGGAGGGGAGGCCAAAGCCAAGGGTCAAGCAACAGCGTACCAACCCAAACAGCTGAGACTGCTACAAGTCAGCAGAATAAGCCCAGAATGGGTTTCAGAATACAACCAAAAGGTCGAACTAAGAAGACCAAGAAGAAAAATCGAGCAAAGCCAAAAACTCACAAGCAAGCTAGACATTTTCCTGCAGCACTCTTCTTGGAAAGCTGACCCCAATAATGTCTTCCCTCGGGATTCTTTCCAAATCTCCTGGAGGGTCTGTTAGATCATGCGTACCGAAGGGATAGACGAGACTGTGCTTCGAGAGCCAGTCCGCGACTCTATTCCCTTCTCTATACGTGTGAACTAACTGGACCACCCAGTTTTGAGACATCAAACGCCTAATGGCCGCCAGGATCGTCGAGTGAGGATGTGCCGGGTCTTCACGATTCTTGACGAGCTCGATAGCCAGTTTTGAATCTGTTTCTAAGATAAGAAATTGGGTACCATGATCCCAAGCCATAGTCAGGCCCTGATGAATCCCCC